TCCCCCTTCGCACCCCCCACACACCCCTCAACACTTCCCCTAACCCCCACGACGAAAATCATTTTCTCATTGCCCCATAAAAAAAAAAAAAAAAAATATTTTCTAATGAAAACGTGAATGAAATTTTTGATTAATTTTTGCCGTCGGAAAAGTTTTTTATAAATACGTGACGTTAGTTTAATTTTTTTTTTTTTTCATTCTCCTTCCACGTTTTTTTTTTTTTTTTTTATACCTCAACCGAAAATATCCGAAAAAAATTTTCTTTTTTAAATTTATAATATTAGTAAGATATTTTTTTAAAAAAATTTTTCACTTACCTTCAGCATTTAAATAGACGGCCATATTGATTTTAGGCTCGGGGTTAACTTGACATTCGTATATTCCGGCATCTCTTTTTTGTACGTATTCAATTTTAAGGTTCCAATCATCTGAACCTTCCGGATGTACGACTTCGAATCTTGCATCCCCAGTGTATGTGAATATACTTGATGTTAATATGTGAAGATCTCTTTTTCTCATCCACGAAACCTACATAAAAAAAAGAAAAAAATGAAACATCTGAATAAAAATAATAAAAAAAAAAATTGCCGGAAGATAACTCAATAATAATAATAATAATAATAGTAATAATAATAATAATACACGATTTCACGGTTACGTGAACAAAATCATATCTACGTTTCGTTTCGTTTTTTTTTTTAACTCGTTCCAACCCCCCTACCCTCTTCCTCCTCTTTCCTTCCCGTCATCCTTTTATTTTTGATACAGGATCATCGGGAGAGAGCAGGAGCGGTGGTAGGATAAGGCAAATTATTAACCTTATTCCCTTTTTTTTTTCTTTTTTTTTTTGATTTTATAATAAAATTATGTTAACGTAAAATAAACAACATGGAGGAAAAAAAAAAAAAAACTTTTCCAGCTTCGTTTTTCCCTCCATTATTATTTCAATAAAATAAACAAAAAATTACAATAAATTTTTCCTTTTTTTCTTTTTTTTTTACATTCGAATGAATTTAACGATTTATTTATTTATTTTTTTTTGTTAATAAAAAAAAAATTTAAACTGTTTATAAATTATTTTAAAAAAAAAAAAAATCAAAAAATGTTTGTGCGTGTTTTTAATTTTATCGAATTTAAAATTATTATTATTATTATTATTATTAAGAATATAACGGTGGGGAAAAAATTCTATTGAAATGTTTGAATCGTAGCAAAAATTATTATTATTATTATTATCATCATCATTTTCTTTTTAACGTTAAAAATAACGGAAAATTATCGACCGACGCAAAAAATTAATAAAATTTTTTATTTAAAACAAAAAGTTGTCGAAGAATGAAAGCGTTAGGGTGGAAGTGTTAGAAAGGGAGGGAGGGAAAGAGAAAGTGGGAGGGAGAAAACAAAAAAAAAAAAGGAAAAAATGAATCAAAAACAAAAAAAATTTTTTAAATTATAAATTTAAAATGGCAATCCGTAAAAACAAATAAATTTAATTGGTTTTCGTTTAAATAATCTTTTTTTTTTCCTTTTTTCCTTTGTGCGTATAATACTACCTTTGAATTTTTTCCTTTGAAGTTTATTAATTTTTTTTTTTTGTTTTTCTAATGGACGTAATTTTTTTTTTTTTAAATCTTTGAAAATGAATTTTTTTCGGCTTTGGAAACGCACAAAAAAAAAAAGAAAAACGATTCGGAAAAGTTGGAAATTTTTTTTTTTTTCAAAACTTTAATTTTCATATATATTAAAACCGGAAATTCACGATACCGGAAATCACGTTTACATCATTTTGTTTGGTAAATATCAATTTGTAAAAAAAAACCTTTTTTTAAACTCGTGATTACACGTAAAATAAATTGAAAAAAAAAAAAAAAAAAAAAAACAAAAAAAATTTTTTTTTTTTAGCAGAAGACAATTAACAATTAAATTCTATAGTGGTAGCAGAAGACAATTAA